ATTGCAGGGATTGCAGGGATTGCAGGGATTGCAGGGATGCAGGGATTGCAGGGAGAGCAGGGATTGCAGGGATTGCAGGGATTGCAGGGATTGCAGTGATTGCAGGGATAGCAGGGATAGCAGGGATTGCAGGGATTGCAGGGATAGCAGGGATTGCAGGGATAGCAGGGATAGCAGGGATTGCAGGGATAGCAGGGATTGCAGGGATTGCAGGGATAGCAGGAATTGCAGGGATTGCAGGGATTGAAGGAATTGCAGGGATTGCAGGAATTGCAGGAATTGCAGGGATTGCAGGGATAGCAGGGATTGCAGGGATTGGAGGGATAGCAGGGATTGCAGGGATAGCAGGAATTGCAGGAATTGCAGGGATTGGAGCCTGGCAGTACCTGAGCGCAGCCAGGGGAGCGGGGCAGGAGAGCAAACAGGAGCGGCACAGCTCAGCACCGAACACTCTCCCCTCCTGGTAACTCTCCATGCTCAGATGGGAACGGGAAAGGGAAAATCCTAAATGCATTAACGGGAAAGGGAAAATCCTAAATGCATTATTTTCATAGATATCTTCTCTCAAATACAAACCCAGCACATCCTGAGGGGGCTGACCCTATAGCAGGGACATAACCTGCCCTAAACCTTATCCCACCCTTGATTCAGCCTTTCCTTTACAGACAGCAGTGATGGAAAGGAATCAGAATTCTTGCATATTTTTTAAGTTTTTGCTTGCAAGGCACCAGGCTCTGTCACTGTAACATACCCTGTGCCCCTCTGCCATCTGCTTACTCCAACAAAAACATTAAAGCTGCCTGGAAAAAAAAAAAAAAAAAGAGTTTGTGTAAGTCAGATGTGTATTTCTGTAAAGGAAAAGCTTTGTATTTTCAATGAATTATTGCTAAAGTATGAAGGAACTCATTAAATTACTCCAGAAAGTCCACCAGATGTTTGAAGAGACTGAAAATACGGGTTCCAAATTAAAAATGAAAAAAAAAAGTGACCCAAAAGAAATCTTTCAGCAACAGGATTTACTTTTATTCCCAGTACGAGGAGACAGTGACTCCTCACACCCACTAGGATTTTTAAATCTGTGCATTTTTGTGATGGTTTTCATACAGTTCCAAAGCACCAGAAGTTCACTTCAGCTGAATTCAAGTAAATCCCCAAAGAGTTTTCATAGTGATCAACCTCCCTGCTGAAAGAACTCTCAACTCTTCATCACTTATATTATTTTTTATTTTTGTAATGATTTCCCAAGCCACTTGGAAAGAAGCAGATCTTAATGTTTGAATGATGGGGTGAGTTACATTTCTAGAAGTTAATTGTATTTCTGATGCAGGTGGATTAAACCCACCAAGTTTTACGGCTGCCAGGGGTTGGAGTCAGTAGTAGCTCAAGGTGAAGTCCAAAAAAATTAAGATTTTTTGTTATTCTTGTAATAAAGATTTCCTGTTAGACTGAATTGGGATAATGGGCTCCAAACCCAGACTAGAAAGGCACCACTGCAGCTGCTCAGCTTTAGAGGAACCACATTCCTGGGAAATTCCCCTTTGTTTATAAGGGATTGTACAGCTCACAGATCCGTTTACTGCACCACAGCACAAAGGACTTTTCTTCTATTACAGCGGTGATTTCACAGGTCTGGCACCTACAGCAAATTCTCTTTTCACACACAAGTAATGGAGTAAAGAATATAAGACAGTACTTAAAGAAAATTACATTTTACTACTGTTTTGCTAAGAGATCACATTGATGATCAATGAGTTGATATTGATAATATTTAGATTAGCAGGGAAAATTAACACCATAGCTGAAAGCTTTGGGATTCTACTCAAGAGAAGTTTTTCCCCCAGTCTCTTGGCAAAAAATAATCCATATTTGGGGAATGCTATCACAAGAGCAAGAATGGATTTTTGTCATGGAAAAACTGATATTTAGAACAACCTAAACTAGGAAATTGAGCTGCTGGAAGAGGAGTTCCGTGGAAGTCTGAGCTTATATTTGGAAGGCCAAAACATTCCTTGGAATGTGTCCATCTTCTGTTAGCTCTTTTTAATATTCATGGAATATAGGCCAAGTGTTAAAGAGAGTTGTTAAAAAAATGCCAGCCAGTCAAAAAAGTCTGTATCTATTTCCTGATCACTTCAGGTTAAGGCTGAAAGTTAAAAATAATAACTAATATAACTAATAAATAAATATAACTAATAACTAATAAAAATAATAAATTTACTTAGGGAAAGAAAAGGAAGTAAATGCAGTGGTGTGTAGAAAATTGTTTCATTAAGTAGCTGGTTATGCTGCCTGAAGGACACTGACACTTCACTTCCAAACTGTCCTGGCTGGACTGAGACATTGTCATTTGAGTGGGAACAACAGGCAGGTTTCCCAAGTTTTTTCGTTTATTTTTCATCAGAAATATTCCTTGAATATCAGCAGGCATTGAATAGGGACTGTTCCCTTACAGATAAATAAATGGGTTTTTGAGAGGGAAATTAATCAAACTTCTAGCATGTTAATACTTTCAAGGATAATTTTTGGGGAAAAATCACTAGAAATAAATGAGTTTCTTAAGTACAACAGAGTGAGTAAAGGCCATCTGAATTAAAATCTCACTTTCTGCCTTGTATTTAGTCTGATGAGCAAGAATTTTGCTCTTTGGAGCTGTAATTTCTTTAAAATCCATCAGCAAGAGACGTGCCATTTTCTAGAAACTTACTCCCACTCGGACAGGGTTTAACAGATTGCACCTGCACTAAATGAGGCACCGAGGCATCCACCCAGCATCTCCCGGGAGATTCTTGTTCCTTGGAGTTGTAATACAATAACAAATCATGTTTGCTGAGCCTCCCTGTAGAAAAAGCTCTTCACAGACAGCAACAATTAAAGAGGCATTTCACCGTGAGCTCGGGGTTTAGAATTTCCACAAAGTAACCCGAGGTTTTGAGCTGTTTTGTTATTTTTTCTTTTTAATCTATTCTGTCTTAGTGAACTTTGTTTCAGTGTAATTGAACTGTGCAAACATTAAACCCCATTCAGTCATTATTACTTTCTTCTATTGGCAACTGCATTAGAGATAAGGAATTACATCAGTAGCTCCTGAAGAAAGGGAACATTAACCCGTTTTGGAGATCAATTCTTGCTTCCTAAATCTTGCCCTATCCAACCACAGCAGTGTTAAGGAGGAAGTTTGGGAAGCAGTGAACAGCATTTACTGTGTTCTGCTGTTGGATTCACAGAATCCCAGAATTGTTGGGGTTGGCAGGATCTCTGGAGATCATCCAGTCCAAGCCCAAATGCAGTTCATATATTCCATATGCAACCCAGGAGAGCTGTCTAACCAGGCAGCTTTCTTTGCTGGTATTGTTTTCAGTTAAAGACTCAATTAAAGTTGCCTTTTCTCCCTTTATTTTACCATATAATTACACACCATTTACATTTTACATGCCATTTACATTTAAATGAAAATATGTGGGGGTGAGGGTCTTACATCAGCTCCTTGCCCTGGCCATGCCCTTACATTTAAACACACTTGAAGAGGTGGAGAGACACAGACTGGGATGTAACCACTTTCCAGACATGGTTTAACATCCATGGAATAATTTCTGTCCTCAACTTCTATGGAGTGATTTCTGTCCTCAACATCCATGGAGGGATTTCTGCCTTCAGCATCCATGGAGGGATTTCTGTCCTCAACATCCACAGAATAATTTCTGTCCTCAACATCCATGGAATAATTCCTGTCCTCAACATCCATGGAGTGATTTCTGTCCTCAACATCCATGGAATAATTCCTGTCCTCAACATCCATGGAGTGATTTCTGTCCTCAACATCCATGGAATAATTCCTGTCCTTGTTCTCAGGAGATGCTGGGGGGCTCTGTGACCTGTGAGCAGAGCTCTGTGACCTGCCACAGAGGAACGGTGCTGGCAGAGCCTGAAGGAATCCAGGATCACAGCACTCCCCAGAGTGCTCCTGTCCCCTCTGCCTATGGATACTGCCAAGGACACAGCTCCTCTCCAATAGCCACCTGTGAGTAAAGCCCAGGAAAGAAGGAATTTGACCTCTCATAAGGAAGCACAAATAATTGCAGCTTCAACCCCGGTTACTGGAATAAAAATTTCTGGAATAAAAAGGGTAAAGTTAAATGAAGTATTGCATCACCAAATTTCAAGAGGAAATCCTGATTATTGAACAATCTGTTGCATTGTATTGCTCTGGCCGTGTTTAGAGTTAAGAGGCTGAGAAATCCCATGCATATCTCAGTGTTAGTTGTGTAAATATTTTGAGTAAATATTTTTACAGTCTCAATTTCTTTCCTTATTGCTTTAAGAGATTTACCAGAACATAAACTCAGACAAGCTATGAAATGGCACAAAATGTGTGTCACCCTCACAGACATCTTTCATCAGTGGACTGGAGGCAGAATTTGGTCAATTGATCATTTGCTCCAAGATGTAAAATATTATTAATCAATTCTGCACTGTGGATCAATACAAGAATTAGCAGTTGGGAAGCAGAAGATGCTTACTAGTCCTGAAAAATCTTATTATTTTGCATTTGATCTCAAATAGGCCTGGCATCTTTAAATGTTTGAAATCTGTGTGAGCCTAAATTGTGTGGGAAGAGATTACTCATTACCTATAATTTGAATGACTGCCTACTGACTGCCAGCTGCTGGATTCTCAAACTGTTAGATGGGGGTTGTAAATAAGCACTGGCTTGTTTAAATTATTTAATACTAAATATGTTTTTACTACCACATTTTAAATTGGTTTGCCAATATGGAGTTTATGTTATGGTTCGTGATCAGCTGTTTAATGAGATCTAATGAATTAAAACTGTGAGGAATTAAATTTCTTCTTCAGATTCTGAGGTCAGAAATAGATGAAGCTCTATGAAAACTGTTTGGGATTGGTTAGTAGGGTTTCATAAAACACAAATAATGTAAAATGTTGTAAAAATTTGCTATTTAGGAGAGCCCAAAAAGGGACAGTGCTAAGCTGAGGCATGAATTAGCTTTATTACCTCATTAGTACAGTGATTGAGTACATTTTCTTCCTTTTTTCTAGTTCTGGAAATAAAAATCCTCAAACAACATGTTTACATCCAGGAGTGCAAACCGTGACTGACCTTCCAAGGCCTGGACATCCACTGCGATTCTCAGTCAAAAAAGATGTCCAACAACACAACAGAGAGCTGCAGCAACGCTCCCTCACCTCTCCTAGGCCTGTTCCTGGGAAGCATTTCCCTGATCACCGTTGTCATGAACATTCTGGTGCTGTGTGCTGTGAAAACGGAGAAGAAGCTGCAGACGGTGGGTAATTTATACATCGTGAGCCTCTCCGTGGCGGATCTGATGGTGGGGGCGGCCGTGATGCCCCTGCACATCGTGTACCTGCTGAGCCGCAGGTGGCCCCTGGGGCTGGAGGCCTGTTTGTTCTGGCTCTCCATGGATTACGTGGCCAGCACGGCCTCCATTTTCAACCTGTTCATCCTGTGCGTGGACCGGTACCGCTCGGTGCAGCGGCCGCTCCAGTACCTCAGGTACCGCACCAAGGTGAGAGCCTCGCTCCTCATCCTGGGGGCCTGGCTGCTCTCCTGCACCTGGCTCATCCCCATCCTGGGCTGGCACGTCTTCGCCAACCGCGGCCAAAGGAACGTCAGGGAAGACGAGTGTGAGACCGAGTTCTTCCAAGTCACCTGGTTTAAAGTGCTGGCGGCCATTCTCAACTTCTACCTGCCCTCCCTGCTGATGGTGTGGTTCTACTGCAGGATCTTCAGCACCGTTCGAAAACACTGCCAGCACCGAGAGCGCACCGATGGATCCTACTGCTCTTCCAAGGAAAAAAGCACCGTGCAGCAGGCTAAGACGAGGGATGAGAAAAACATCTGCCTCCAGAAGCAAATCTTAGGTGAGAACACCCCTGGCACAGACAAGCAAAGCTCCCCAGAGCCTCAAAAAGCGGAGGCAGAGCTTCATTTCAGCACTCCCGGTGAGGCTTCGGAGGCGCTGAGTAATGGGAAGGTCCTGAAGTGTTTCCCTCTCTCCACAGCCGAGCCTGAGCCTGGCTTGGACAGAGCAGGGAAGAAGGGGGTGTGTGCCACGAGAAAACCTGGGAATAAGGAGCAGCCTGGCTGCCAGGACAGCGACTCCAGCGTGGCATCAGACAAGCACACCTTCACTGAGGTGGCCCCCCGTGCAGAGCAGCCCAGTCCCGGCCCTGCAGGAGCCCGCTCTCCTCAGGGAAGGACAGAGCACAGGGATTCCAGGGGACTGGCGTTCCTGAGGAAAACCTGGCACACCCTGCACAGCCGCTCCAGGAGCACCCACCAGCACGGGAACAGGGAGAGGAAGGCAGCCAAGCAGCTGGGGGTCATCATGGCAGCCTTCATGCTCTGCTGGATCCCCTACTTTGTGTTGTTCATGGTGATAACGTTAAACAAGGAGCACAGCAACCATCCACAGCTCTCAGAACTGCACAGGGTCACCATATGGCTCGGCTACGTCAACTCCACCTTAAACCCATTCCTCTATCCTCTCTGTAACCAGAACTTCAAGAAGACTTTTAAAAAGCTCCTTCACATTCATTGATGCTGGAGTTTTGGAGCTCAGGCGCAGCTCAGGAGTTCATCCAAACCAAATGTTCCAGTTTCAAAGGATGAGTTCAGTAAAAGACTTTGGTGAACTGTAGCCTATAAAGAAGCGTTAGTAAAAGTGGGAAATGTGCACTTTTTAGGTTTAATACATTTGAAGAGCAACTTCAGATCAAGGATCTGAAAAACTCGAGGTCAATATATGAACTGTTACACTGTTGTCAGCCTTTTATCACTTGAGATCACCACTTCCATACAGAAATGGAGATACAAATAGACATCCTCAGTGATTATAAATTATTCAGCTACAGAAAAGGAAGAAATCACATTTCACTGATTACCCAAAAACATTTTTCTCTTTCAACTTACTCCATTAAACACATTGCTTGTGAAGTGAGATTTGCAGGAGGAGGTACTTTGCACAGCCCAAGAGTTTAAAAAGACTCCCCCCCATTTATTTATAGCCTCCTCCAAATCACAAACTTTCCATCAAATGTCAGGTTTTAGTGTGTATCCTGCTGTATCTCTGTGATATTGTGCTTAGATTAACTGCACATTAACTTTGCTGAAAAAAGAGGTTTTATGTCCCAAAAGAGTTTCCATGCTCAATGTCCTGTCACCATCTGCTCCAGAAGGGCGTGCTGCTGTTTCCAGACTCACAGAATATAGTTGATTATACATGTGTTGACCTTTTCTACCCTTTATATTTAATTTGTATTTCATAAATCTTGCTGTCAAATATTTCAGGAGAAAAACACAATAATAATAGAATACTCCATGTTGGAAAAGAGACCAGGAAGATGTTGAAGTACAACTGAAAGCTGAGGTGGCATTGATGCTACAAAAAGAGTCCTCTCATTCCTTTTGTTGTGCTGATGAATTTCCCACGTCCTGAACACTTTCTTAATTGTATTTAAAGGACTCAATATTAAATGAAACCCTAATATATCTGCCTTCTAATAAATTGGGGAAGTCTGCTAAAAGAATAAATTCAGCCTATTCCAGTGTAGAGTTCAGAGATTAATTGACTTTGGTTTCAAGTTGCATGCAGGAAAAAAAACTGCAATTAGGAAACTTAAATCTAGGAGAAATAAGGGAAAATGTAGAGAGAAGATATGAAACCAACAAAATTTCTTGCAGAATTCAGACAGCTTTTTCACTGCAGGAGGAACACCTGCACAAGCAGAAAAATGCACCTTTTTGGAGTAAAGAACAGAACCTTTTGAAACTCATGCTCTAATCCCTGGCCTTTCACAAACAATTGCTGAGGTTCACAGCCACTAAATTGGTTTTTTTTTCTGTTCTGATTTGCAACAGCACTTCTGGCTAAAATGGATGGTAATTTAGATGATCCCTGAGGAAATAAAAGTCAGGCACAGCTATTGGTGCTGAAAAACACATTTACCCAAGGGCTGCTGAGAGTTACCAAGAAATCTGTCCTGTTGATCATGTAAATTGGCTTTTCTGACCTTAAAAACAACAAAACCTCAGCAAGATCATTGAAAATTGGTCTAAAAATGATGGTAACAAAGCCTTTGGTAAAAATAAAGAACATTCAAACAGCTAAACCCAGGAAAATAAAGCTGCCTGAATATATATATATATTTTATCTCAAATCATTTTATTCATGATCTTTGTGTAGCTGTGTTAATAGCAAAGACAGGGGATTTATGATAGCTACATTTTAAAGCTATTAGATGACAATAAAACAGGAAAATGGGATAGTGCCTATTTTATATAGCACAAAAAAGCAACCAAGAAAATTTCCGTTCATTTCACTGAACGGGGCAATTCCAGCGGCTCTGGATGTGAGGGAAGCAGAGGAGAGCGAATCAAGGTAAGAAACGGAGAAGCCAAGGCTCCAGGGAATACTTCAAGCGTGGTTTCCTGAAAATATTTTCAGGATTCTGCAGTTCCCAGCGAAGCTCAGAGGACACGGAGCTTGCGGAGAGCGTAACCAGAGTCGGGGCATTTCCTGGAGAAGCGCTGGGGTTCGGCTGTGCTGGGAGCGGAGCAGGTTTTGCAGGCACAGGATTCCTCTGGGAGCGTTCCCTGCCCAGTGGGGACATCTGCTGGGACAGCAGCGAATCCCGGGATGCAGTGGGCAATTTTCATCGTGCTTTTCCCCACATTGTCAGGAAATGCCGCCGATGGGAGGGCGAACATCAGTGCAGGCGCACATCCTGGCCTTCTTCCAGCATCTAAAATGCCGCTGTTCACTTCTGAGGGCTCCGTCCCGGGGGGGTCGGAGCAGGGCACGGCACCGGGCACAGGGCTCCAAGCNCACAGCCCCGGCTACTGCCACAGCCCCAGCCCCTGCCATCGGCACCGCCACAGCCCCGGGCACCGCCACCGGCGCTGCCCCCGCAGGGTCACAGCACCGGCACCATCCCCGCAGTGCCCCTCCCGGGTCGGTGTGTCCGGGCCTCAGCCGCCTCCCCGGGGCTGCAGGCACGCGTAGACGGGGCGGAGGAGTCGGTGTCGATCCCGGTGCCTGTCGCTGTGAGGGGCCCGTGTCAGTCCCGTGTGTGTCCCTGTCCCTGTCCGTGTCGCTGTGCGGCTCCGGTGCCGTGTCCGCGTTCGGCTGTGTCCCGGCTCCCCTCAGCTGGGTTTCCCGGTGTTTTTGTGCTGTCGCAGGGTGCAGCAGCAGCAGCCCAGCCATGGCCACGGCCGGCGGGGAGCCCGGGCTCGCCAAGCTGCAGTTCGCCCCGTTCAGCAGCGCCCTGGATGCGGGATTCTGGCACGAGCTGACCCAGAGGAAACTCAACGAGTACCGGCTGGATGAGACCCCCAAAGTCATCAAGGGCTACTACTACAATGGTACACACAAACTAACCGTGGCAGCTGGCTCCTGACACCCCTCTGGGTTATCTGGCATGCTGCAGACCTTCCGTGGCTGTGAATTTTGAATGTTTCACTGGGTGCTTTACATCAACAAAAAATAAAGGGAAATAAGCTGTACATTTCAGTCTGAAAGGAGCTTTGTTGCTGTTTTGTTTGGTTTTTTTTTGTCCAGGTGATCCTTTGGGTTTGCCAGCTCGCTTGACCCTGGAGTTTAGTGCCTTTGATATGTAAGTACCAGCTGTGGTTTTCCTTCATTTGTGTGTGAAGACACTTTCCTGGCATAAAACTGATTTATTTGTTAGAGAAACTCTACATGAGAATAAATAACATTTTAATGAACTCTCTAACAGAGGCTGCTTCGAGTCACAAAAAATTAACTCCTTCTGGCTGAATTTAAAATATTCTGAATTCTCACATTCACTTTCTGCATGTATGTTTATATAATTCTTTTTTATTATTATTTTTTTCATTTCCTCAGCTTTTTGCATTAGGGAGGCTTTTTCAGTAGTTTGACTCTTTCCCTTATAGCTTTAATTCAAATTGTTTTTACAGTCCCTGGTTGTTACACTGTAACCTCTTCCAAAGTGTTTCTCTGTTGTGACTGGAAAAATGCCAGGTTTTGAGAACAGTGTCAAAGGAGGCAATGAAATCAGTGAGATCTGTAAATTAAGGGAAGATTGGAGGGTTTTTTACCTAATTTATCTCAAAAATAAAATACTGTTTAAAGACAGCAGCTTCTCCAGCTGATGATGCTACAAACTACAGAAGCTGCTCAATCTTTTATCTGGTTTGGGCTTCCTCTGGGATGTGTTTTAAACATCAAATTTTAACTAACTCCTCATGTGGGTACAACTCTGGCATCTAAGCTCAGCCTAAATTAGTTTTTCCCAGTGCAAATCCCATTTGCCTCAGGTAGCTCCTGTTTGAGCAGAATTTCAAAGCTTCAATCCCTGATTTAGTATCAGTCTGCTTGGAGAACACACAGAGATGCCAGATGTATTTTTGAAGCCATGATGGAGGTGTGTATTTGCACTGGTTATTCATCCATGCTCATAAAGATGTTTTCATTAGAAGTGGTGTTAATTTCCTTGCTGTGCCTCATCATTTGATAATTTAAGTTTCCACCATCAGATAGCTACTGCTGCTGGTGATTGTGTTAATTGCCAGAGTTTTCCTTCTGTTTTTAATCAGGAATGCTTCAATACCAGCACGTTGCTGTCCTGCTTTTGGAACGTTGTATAACACCAACACTTTTGAGACTTTCAAATCCTGTGATAAGAAATCACTTCTGGACAAGGAAGCAAGTGAGGTAAGATGTAAAATCAAATCACAGAGCATTTTCAAATCCTTTCTACCACTTGAAGTGCTTTACACTCTGCCTCAAATTTAGAGATACTCCAGTCCTGAGTAGGCTCAGGATTTAGCTTATTCTGGATTATTGGTGTTTGCTTCTTCTGTTCTCTACAAGAGAATAGAACCTAATTTAATTGTTGATAACTAATCCTACTTGGAAAACTTCATCCCATTTTAAGCTCTACAATGCTCTCTACATTTTTAAAATGTGTCTTCATACCCAAAAACCAGCAGTGCCTGGTTTAAACCTCAGATTACTGCAATTTATCCATGTGACAAAGAAACAGGGAAGCTCTGCAGCTGCAAGAAGCCTGAGATAAAGCAAGAAAAAGATGGGTGAGAGGGGCTGGTCTGTCTGCACTGGCACCACTTAATTTAATGTCATGGCCTGGGGAGAGGTGAAAGTCAAATTTAAGATGCTTTACTTTGACCAGTCCTTGATTCTTTTAATTAATTGCCTTGAGTAACAAAGTTTTGATGCATGGCTTCACTCCAAACTAGGAATTTTTGTATTCCTATGGCCTCATAATTCCCTGTTGCCTGACCTTTAAAATCCTTTTATCACAGATAATTGTATGAGTAAATTCAGTTAGAAAAAAATGGCAATGAACATTTATCTCCAGACTTTAAAGTTAGCTGGAAGAGTTACAGATTTTTGCAGCTGTTCTCATCTTCTCTTGGTGTTTCTCTGCCTCCTTTTTTTCCTCATTGTCCCCACAATCCATGGCAGATCTGGGAATCAATCAAATCTGGAGCTGCTCTGGAGAACCCCCTGCTCTTGAACAGGTTCCTGCTGCTGACATTTGCAGTGAGTACAGATAATTTGTGCCTGCTATTTGTAGTGGAAGTGGCAAAGTAATTTGTTTTTAGGAGTATTAATATATTTTGTATTAATAATAATGCTGCATTAATATATTTTTATATTATTTTCTACAAATGTATGAGATTAACTGATAGCCTTATAGATATCAGTAAAAGTGCTCCAGCCAAGAAATCCTAAAGGATTGTACACACATAAAAAATCATTTACAGAGAATGGAAGTCTTTGATTTTCTAAACTCATTATGAGGTAATGATACCTGTGGTTCCCATGGTTAAAATCATAAACCATAAATTTTAATTAGTATTATATAATTTGCTTTGATATAACTCTTTATTATCTAATTAGACAAATTTCTTTTCCCTAGGATTTAAAAAAGTATCATTTCTATTACTGGTTTTGCTACCCTGCTCTCTGCTTCCCTGATGGAATTCATTTAACTCAGAAACCTGTGTGTCTTGGGGACAGGTTCTCACTAAATCAGGTATTCAAAATCCTAAACATTGTGAATTCTGCAATACTGAGAACTGCTGTGAGCTTTAAAAGTCATTTTTTTTTTGTTACCATGAATTGAACTAATTGGAGATTCTAATTTCTTTTTAAATCTTCACTTTTCTTTTATTTCCACGTTGGTTTTCTGTTTACCATTTGTTTCATGATTGTTTAAATTGTCTGTTTAGAAGCAGATACAGCAAAAAATTCCTGAAGATGTGATTATGCTAATCTATATATTATATATTTATTTCTGAGATATGTATATTAAGCTGTGTATAAAAATTAATATGTAGTTATGTATATGGCTTTGGTTTTGAAACTCATTTAAAAGAAACCTTTAGAAAGGGACATCCCTGAGTGAGCCAACTCATTAAAATTACAAAAATGATTAATAAAATGCGTGATTAGATAAGAAGAAGAAGTTAATTTGTTTATTTTTAGGAGAAGAGTTAAACAATCTTTAGTTTCTTTCATATTTCAGTTCAGAATTGGTCAAGCTGTTGGTTCAGCTGTCTTTCCACTTTCAGATTCAAGCCCTGCAGAAAGCCTACGATGACCTCTGCCAGGAGGAGGGGGTGACAGCCCTGCCTTATTTTTTAATTAAGTATCATGATAATTCTGTCATTGTATCCCTGCTGAAAAAGTGGGATGGCTTCTTTCAAGACCAAGGAAGAAAGGTAATGAGAATTTTATATCATTTTATGGTTAATCTGTGAATGGTTTGAAGCTTTAATACTGAGCTGGGCACAGTGGTTGTGTCTTGAAGGTGGCTGTAAAGTGATTTTTATGGTGTTTTCCCTTTGATTTGTTCTCTTGCTGGCTTGTGCTCTTTCACTTTTTGATCCTCCCAGAATCAGTGCAGAATTTTGGGATGGAGCAAGGCTTCAGTTGCTGGGCTTCCCTCATAATTGTGCTTTTAAGGTAATAAAAGTGCATTTACTGCAGTAAACATCCAGTGTCCCTAAAGAGACCAAACTGAATAAATCTCAAAGCTGTGGCAAAACCTTGAGTAAAACCTGCTGTGACCATGGATTAAATATTTATAAATACACAAAATGTGTGTGTAGGCCTGCCCCATCCAGAATTTTTATTTAAAAATGCCAAATAACCTTTGCATGACTGTGGATAGGTGACTTCTCATGGAGAACAATTTGATTTGCAGGTGACAGTTGGAGTTTATGATCCCTGTAATTTATCCCAGTATCCAGGATGGCCCCTGAGAAACTTCCTGATCCTGGCAGCCCACAAATGGTATCTATTTTATTCTTTCCCACAAAGATTATGTACTGGTTGATGTTAAATGAGATATTTTTCTTCCCATGGCATTTCACTCATGAGATTTTGCTTTTTCCCTTGACATTATCCACCTGGAGTGATTCTGGTTTTGTGCATTATTCTGTTTTTTACTCTGTCCATCACAAATTCCTGGGAATCCTAATCCTCACATGGATGCATGCACCTGGAAATGGCAGCTTCACACCCTGCCAATACCCTCCAGCTGTGTCAAATCTCATTTAAATACTCTGAATTTATATAATTAATTAGGATCAAGCAATAGCAGGCTTACATTTCAAAAATCAGATGTTCTTAGGTTTTCTTCTTGTACCACTTGAATTTTTTTGTTGGGGAGAAGATGGGAAGACAAGACACAGTTTTACACTCTGGATTTTGAAAGAAAGGATTTCAATGATCAAAAAAATTATGAAAACACTGTAATTAGGTTTCACTTCCATAGTTTTGAGTGTTACATTTACACAGCCTTGGCATTCTGAGGGGTTTAGGCACTAAAATTGTCAAGTTTTTTTGGGGGGGTTTGAATCACAAGGAGGAAAAATTGCATCTGTTGTGAACTCAGAGCATCTTGGTGCCACAGCAAAGTCCCAGCACCCACCTGATGTGTGCTCTGGTGCTCTTCTGCCTTTTATTCCTGTAAATCTGCAGTTTTTCCAGGGCTGGGTAAATGCAAGGACAGGCTGGCAGTGGCATTGCTTTGGAGCTGTTTCACACCACAGCAGTCATTTTCTTACACTTCAGGAGTGATTTCTCTTTCTACACCTGCTAAAGACAGCAGTGTTCAGTACCAAGACAAAAAGCCTCATTCAGAGCCTGCAAAGGACTAAACCTGTGGGAAGTGGTGGTAAAAACAATTCCCTTTTCTATTAAAGAAGTTGCATGTCTGTCTCTATTTATCTTTTATTTCCATGGCAGGGGCAGCATTCTGCAGAGGGTTGAAGTGCTCTGCTTCAGAGACAGGACCATGCAAGGGATGAGAGACATCACACACAGCATCATCTTTGAAATCAAACTGCCAGAGACACCCCTGGGCCCAGGTAATCCATTCAAAACATTATTTTCCTTTTTTTTTTTACCCTTCTTAATCACTGCTGACATGGCAAAATAAATTACTGCTTCAAAGTCCTTACTTAGGCTAAGTTATTTCAAATGGATTTTAAATTGTTTGAATTTCTGTTAAATGCCTCTAAAGGAAATGCTTCCTTTTTTGAGAAAGAAAGAAAGAGGAGGGAATATTCTCTCTAAAGATTTTCCTCCTGGACTTGTGTTTCTAATTGAAAACCAAAAAAAGTCCTGCTGGTATCGTAGAAAATACAATAAAACAGCAATTTGTCTTGTTTTTTCTTGTTGAATTTGTATACAGTCCCTCAGGTAGGAAAAAAGTGATGGTGAATTTATGGGATGCAAAATTTCTGGAGAATTTCTAAAATGATAAAAAACCTGCCCCAGAATGGAATTGTTCCTTTAATCCCATAGTGACACATCCAGGTGTATTTTAAAGCAATTGACATGAAAATGTGAAAATATAATCTCAGATTTAATTTCTAGGTACAGGACAGTATCCCAAAATTTCTCAGGTAGAAAAGTTCTGAATGCTTCACCTGTCATTGCTGCAAAATATTTAATTATTATATATAATTAAGATACATAATTCTCCACTGAATTTGCAGATGGGGGTCTATGAAATGATGACTGAAATTGGCAAAATTTACTGAATTATGAATTTTCTGAGCTTGACATTAAAGATCTGAGGGGGAATGATGCCAGCTCTGTGCTGGGTTTGAAGCTGAACAGGCAAAAAAGCAGCACAGGGGACAGCTGAGAGCAAAGAAATTCTCCAGGAAATTCCAGTTGATGTAAGCAGCACAATTTGTATAGCAGGTTGTTAAAATGCAGGTTGTTTACTGGCAGGTTTAAAATAAGGTTTTTTTCCAACAGGGTTAAGTCCAACAAAACTTCTTTTTTTCTGTCCTCCAATATTAAAGTTTTCATTCTTTCTTTCCTTTTTTCTTTTTTTTTTTTTTTTTGTTTGTTTTTGTTTGGTTGTTTTTTGTTGTTGTTGTTTTTGGGTGGTTTTTTCTTATGTTTTAAATATTTCAAACAGATTGTCCAAAAGCTGTTGGATGGGAGAAAAACCAAAAGGGAGGCATGGGGCCAAGGATGGTGAATCTCAGTGAATGCATGGATCCAAAGAGGTTTGGTTTTTATCTTTTAAATTCCCATCATTTTCTTTACTTGGGTTTAATCCCTAGCAAGTTGAAATGTGAAATAGGTAAGAATATGCAGTAAAACATACACTGGATATTGTTTGGATTTTCCTTTTGGACATTTACAGAGCAGTGCACTGCCTGCAGCAGAAATCTTGGTAATTTTGGACTCTGGTTGAAAATTGTGAGTGCATTTATTTAAAACTGAGAGAAATTTGGGTCAGAGTGTTACAGGCCTGTGGTAATTTCATTGAATTCTTTAACCTGCATGGTGTTAATGAAAATAAACATGGGAGAAAGTTCATCTTTTGGGATTTGTCAGAGTGGGACAGGAAAGGGCTCAGGAAATGTGACCTTAATAATTTTTATCATTCTGCACATAATGTTTGGGCAATGGATTGAAAATAATGAGGTTACAGAGTGTTTGCATCTGTGTCCTTCCCTTGGGAAAACTCACTGGTCTGATGGTTCAGGTTCACATTTTGCCCACCAAGCAAAGCCATTTTTATCAAGCATTTGTGGAAATTCTCAATGTTTTCACAGATACTCAGTAAAGTTCAACTCAGAGTTCTTAATTCTATAGGTAACTTGACCTTCTTTACTTTTATAAATTATATAAGTGCTTCCCACAGAGGTGTTGGTAAAACGTCAGCTTTGACAATTGCTGCTTAAATCTTTGTTGGATGAGTAATTTACTGGATGCTGAAAAGATTTTATTTATGATAAAGGAATGAAACTTGCAGGAATCTGAGAGCTGTGGTGGCCTGGCTTGGTGAGAGTTTTAACACTCCATGTTCTGATGGATATAAAAATCTGCCCCTTGCCTGAACACAGATTTCCTTCTCCATTTTCTTTCTCCAACTTCCACAAAGAGCTGCCAACATGCTTTAGGGAACAAGTGGAATATTTCATGTTAAGGGCAGGTGTAACTGGATACAGGAAACCAGATAGTTTAAAAAAGAAACAAAAATTTATGGAGAAATTCTCTGTCTTAGCTCTCAGCTTAACAGGAATCTTGGCTGAGACACCATTTTTATTTTCATGCTTGCATCAATTTTATTACTAAAATTTTAGTTTTGGATTGGTACTTTTTCAGAAGCTCTTGTCTGTTTGTTTTGGTTTTTTTTTTTTGTGTTAAATTGCTGAATTCCTTCTCTCCTTTTAAAAAAAAGAATTTAAATTAACTCACTCAGCTGAGATATCAGTAATTCATTTGTTGGAGAAGCACAGGAGGGTTCAGAAGTTGTTACTGTTTATTCCATGGCACAGGTTGGCAGAATCATCCGTGGATCTGAATTTGAAGTTGATGTGCTGGAGGTTGGTGCCTACTCTGGATTTAGAAAAGATTGTGGCTGCCAAGTGTCTGCTGCTGGGAGCTGGCACCCTGGGCTGTAGTGTTGCAAGGACCTTGATGGTAAATCAGGTGAGATCTGTACCTGATGGAAATAAATACCTAAAATTCTTCTGATATGATATAGTAAGGAAACCTTGGCAGAATATTTTGAATTTATATTTTTTAAAAAAAATCTGAAACAAATTAACAATCTATAAAGACCAAGTTCACATTGAAGTATTTGAAATAGCTGTGCTGATAATTCCTTTCAGGGATGTTCACCTCATTCCACTGAATTTTGAGGGATTTCTGTTAAATTCTATATTTGGAGCAACCAAATTTTCTCTTCCCTTATTTCAGTTGCCTTGAATAACTGCAAAAGCTTTTGTAGCTTAAAAAAAGTGAACAATACTCAACACTGAGCGTGTGGCATTCCTCAGAAAGGTTTTCCAAGGCTGTTGTAATTATCTTTATTAAATTTTGTTCTCCTTCAGGGCTGGGGGGTGAGGAAAATCACTTTTGTGGACAATGCAAAGATCTCCTACTCCAACCCCGTGCGGCAGCCGCTCTATGAGTTCGAGGACTGCCTGAGTGGGGGCAAGCCCAAGGCTCTGGCAGCAGCAGACAGGCTGCAGAAAATCTTCCCAGGAGTGGTAAGATCATTATCTCCATCTTACTATCACTGGCAGAAAAAATAAAATAAAATAATTCAATTTCTATTCCAAGTTCTAGTAGCTGAACGTTAAAAATGCTATGCGAGTGTTCTGTTGGTTACTGAAATATTTTACTACAAATCTCTGCTCCTGGTAACTTTAGTGAGGTAAGTATTTGTAGTAATGAAATGTAATTAAGGATCTTTAAGTGGTCTTGTAGCTTATTGATAGTGAAAATTTTTTCCTGGCTGGGATGTCCTAAGGAGCTGTGAGTAATGCCAGGTCAGACATATTGATTGTCTCCTCTGAGAGCAGGTCTTGAGAGAAGTAATAAATGTATTTTTGAGATTTCCTATTATGTTTTAGACCCCAAGTTTGCAATCTTCTCTGAGTTGATTTTCTACATTAGAAGATAACAGCTTAGTTTTAAATTTCCAGCAAAGGGAACAATACATAGTCCCCTTTTTTAATGTCATTCTAGTATTTTATGGGATGGTAACTAAATATTATAGATAATTTGGAGGCATTTTAAAACTTTTCTTAAATTCCTGAGATTTTGAGATTCTGTGGAATGAGCAAGGTCTTTCTTTGGGGATATATATGGACATTTACTGCTCCTTAAAATAATACCAATGTGCCCTCTGAGCTTTTCCTGCCATTTCCTGGCTGCCAAAGTTCACCTCTGGTGACTGCTGTCTGTTTTTTGAGGGAAAGTTACTCAAATAAAATTGTTGGAGCTGCCAGGCTTGTCTGTATTCCTACAGCTGCACTGCCTGGATTGAGCTTTTTTTTGGAATTCTGGTAGGATTTGAGTATTTACAAGCCACACAGAGCAGTTTTTGGTGCAGCTAATGTCCAGCTTACTTATTTTCATTTACTAAACAAAAATTGCCCTCCTGAATCACCAGCAGTGTCAGTTGAGCTGATCTAATCAATCAGCACTTTGCAGCAGAGGCTCGATGAGTTATCCATGAATACTCTACTCAGGCACAGCATGGATTAAGTTTTCTATTCCTACCACAACTTTTTGGAGGAGATAATGACACTGAAATTAAGCCTGCCCCAGTGATTTCCTGATGTCTGTGGTGATGGCACAGAGGGGAAAAAAAGGTGTATCCTTTGGTATGGTTAATGCAGCTATTACCCACTGTCATTTCTCCAAGCTGCTAAATGGGCCTGGTTCTTTTTATCCTCGGGGATATTTATGTGTATTCACCCTTCTGGTTATTTGACTCACCTGGATTTATGAGTTGTGCTGCTAATTAATTGGTCTGTGCAAAAGCACATCCCACCAACCTTCCTTTCCTCTCTTCCCATGGAATTTCATGCTTGGTTCATCCAGTTTTTACATTTTGGTTTTTGATTTTTCCTGCCAAGCAGGGAGGCTTTGGCAAGGCTTGTTGTTCTGTAGCATAAGTGAGGGATCCATCCTTCCCTTCCAGCAGATGGCTGGCAGATTGTGCTGACACATTTCCAAAGGAGTGAATTCCTTGTTTGCATTGTACATGCATTGTGTAGATGCTTATTTGGCTCAATATTTGCTCTCAGTACGTCCTGCCCAAGTCAGGGGCTGGAAGAGGGAAATGTTCCTGCCACAGGAACAACCTCCTCCAGCATCTGCACAGTGCAAGCAGCACTGCAAACTCCAGCTCTGCAGTGACCAGTCTCAGAAGTGCTTTCTGCTGGCTCAGGTTCCCACATGGCTGGGGAATTTCAGGGGAATCATCAGAGGCTGTTCTTCTCCTCAGGAACTGGAAGTGAAGAGCAGAGTGTAATACTGCGCATCTGACTGGGGCTGAGATGATGTTCAGCGGCAGAAATCCAAACTGCAGCCTGTTCAAATTGTGTGGGAAGGGGCTGGAAAGAGAATCCAGGACACAAGTTTTAATCACAGCTCATAATCACATGTAAAAGTGGTGGCTTGGCTTTGGGATGATGTTTGTAAGCCCTGGGATCAGGAGCAGTTTGCTCTGTTCTTGTGAGTTGCTGAGTCTGCTGTGCATGAATACAGTGAGAAACTCCAGCACGGTGCTGCAGTGCACAGCACTGCCCCAGAGAGGTGGGGAGAGCAGAGCTGCCATTCTGACAAGCAGGAATTGAATGTGGACTCTGATCTGTACTGAATTCAGCACCAGTTCAGTCCCAAGGTTACCCTCTGAAGGTGTGATTTTGTGTCTCCCTGCAGAGTTCAGTCCCAAGGTTACCCTCTGAAGGTGTGATTTTGTGTCTCCCTGCAGAGCTCTGAAGGCTACAACATGAGCATCCCCATGCCAGGCCACCCTGTGAATTTCTCCGAGGTGACGATGGCCCAGGCTCGCAAGGATGTGGCCAAGCTTGAGGAGCTCATTGATGGCCACGACGTTGTTTTCCTGCTGATGGACACTCGGGAGAGCCGCTGGCTGCCTGCTGTCATTGCAGCCAGCAAGAGGAAGGTGTTGTACTAATCCATTCCTTCTTCCTTTGTTTTAAATGCTTTTCTTTCCCTGAGCAATGCACTTCTGTTTATAGCTCCAGTGAACTTCCCTTTGCCACTGGAGAGATCAGTGTCCCTTTAGTGAGGGCTTCACTGATTTACAGCTTCAGGTGTAAGTGTCCCTTTAGTGAGGGCTTCACTGATTTACAGCTTCAGGTGTAAGTGTGATATCTTCATCAGGTCCTCCTTAATCCTCCTGGCCTCCCTGCAGCTTGCACCCATGGGCTTTCAGCAGTATATATTTAAACAGCACAGAAATGACAAGAAGAGCAAGTTTACAAGGCTTGTTGTCAAACAAAAATCTGATTCCATTCTCCAGATGACTGATTCTCCATGTTTATTAAAAAATAGATATAAATAATATTAACCCAACCCCCAGCCCAGGCAGGGTGGTCTGGCATTGCATTTGTGCAACTCATGGACACAAAATTCCTGCTACCTACTGAGCAGGAATTTGTTGGGAGCAGGAATTACGTAAATAAAGCCATTTCTGACTTTTCTGTTCTCCCACAGAGCTGCCAATATGAGCATCCTAAAGTTCACTTTTGAAATCTCTTCAGAGTTTGAAAACAATTCAAATCAGCCAACTCCCAATTATAATGTGAGTTGGCTGATTTTAATTATTATTATTTATTATTATCACAAAATATTCAGGTTGTTTTGGTACCATCCAGCACTTTTATCTGCAACTCAACCCAAACTCTGCTTACAAGTGTGCTACAGCTTTTCAAAAATTCAGTTTTAAAATCTCAAAATTGAAACCTTAAAGTGTCAGGGTCAGCCTGCTCTTCCACATGTATGATGGTTGGGAATTTTCAGCAATACATGGAGTTTTATGTGTATATTTTATATGAATCCTTTCTGGTTCAATCAGGATAGAGTGGTTTTATGAGCTCCAAAACTTCCACGTTTTCTTAGCCAGCAGTGCCCCTCTACATTTTTCTTGCAGCATTTAAATAATTTTGAGGAGAGATTGAAACTTTTTTGTGACATTTCTCTGTTCCTCAGTGGTGTAGTGTGTCTGCACACTGGTTGATTTGATAGCATCACTTTGATCTGAGGAGATGGAATTCCCTGTCACTGCAAAAACACAGCAGGGAAATCTTGATGTGCCCAAACAGGTGCTCGTTATTTTATGTTGGTAAACACTCAATGAGAGCTCTGCTTCAAATGTGATTCTGTGTGACACCTGCAGATCTCAGGTCCCAAAAAGGCACACAGGAAATAAAGAACATGGTGGGTGATGATTTGTGTCAAGACCACAAAACCAGGGCTGTGGGTAGCAGGAAGAGTCGTTCTCCCCACTTCATCATCCGAGCACCTTGATGAGCTGTGCCATTCCTGCAGTCCTTCCCCAAAACAAGCACCTCACACAAACAAAGCCCTCAAATGCTAAATCCTCATGGCAGATGTTAAATCTCTGTTCCTGCTGAGTGCTGGAGCTTGTTAAAATTTCCTTGTTGCTTCTTTTTGTTTATCCATGCCAAAAGCTGATTTTCCATTTGTTTCTTGTACTTTTCCATTAGTCTCTATCAAAACCAGATGATTTTTTTTTTAATTAAGGCTCAGTTAGAATGAAATGGTTACCTGCCAATAAGATGAGAAGAGAGAAACAGTTGATTGCAGTGGGAATTGTTTAACAATAATATTAATTTCTGCTAATACCAGCTCTTACTCATATTTTGGAAGTGGAACACCATATTCAGGTTTTTCAGGTAGATGTAGTGAGAAGATGCAGTTTCTTAATTGCTGTAGGCCTGGACAGATTGAACAGCAGGGTTCCACTTCAGGACTGAGGAAAAATAAACTTCTCCAAGGCTGCAAGATAATATACAGAAGTAATTGGAAATACTAAGAATGATGATGGGACTCCAAGCTTCCTAATTAAGATGACTAATTCTTGAGAGAGCTTCCCTCAGAGTTCTTCTTTTAAATAATTCCTGGCTGGAAGAATGGAAAACGAGGAAGTGCTGCACCAGAATTTCTGTCAACAGTCTGTGCAGATGCAGCAGGGCATCTTCCTTTATATTTGACTGGCTGCAGTCGTTGCTGTGTTGAGACTTCAGAATCCTCTGTGCACTTGCCACAAAGTGGAGGGAAAGGGGAAAATGAGGACAGAGGAATTGTGCAGCACAGCTGCTCCTGCTCCCCATGGGACTAAGCAGATGCAGATGAAGTCCATAAGTAATCATTAATTGCTTTCCTTACTGAGCAGAAATTGGTTTGGATAACAGATGGCATTTCATTGCTTGAAGTTGCTGTTGCTTTTTTGTCACAAGTTTGTGTAACAGCTAGAGGGAGTCATTCATTTGGATCAGATTGCCCTGAAAGGCACAGAAAAGGACAAGGGCTCATGACTTTCTGAAACAGACTTTTATTTTGGTTTTGTTTTTTCCTAAGTGCTTGGCATCTGGGATTCTGCACCTTTCAGAAACTCTTGTTCATGGCTAAGGTGGTAAATGTGCAGTTAATGGGTTGCTCCTCCATCTACAGCCTGCGGCATTTTTGGCATTTATAGTGAATAAAAACCCCGAGGCTGCTTTTTTTTCCCCCCCACCTCCCATTTTGGCTCACTTAAAATCTGTTGTTCTCTCTTTATTGTTCACAGTTGGTCATCAATGCTGCCTTGGGGTTTGACACTTTTGTTGTTATGAGACACGGCCTGAAGAAACCAAAACAGCAAATATCTGGTGATTCACGTTTCAGCAACGCCTCTGCTGCTTCTGACCTGCTGGGATCCTCGCTCTTCTCAAATATCCCTGGCTATAAACTGGGCTGCTACTTCTGCAATGATGTTGTGGCACCAGGGGATGTGAGTAGAACCTCATGGAAATGGTGATTATACCTCTCCTTTGTTGTGACATGAATTAGTGGTGTTTGATAGAGGGATCCGCTCTGTGTTGATGTACGTGAGGTAAAGAGCTGATTTTTCTTGGGAAGATCCCAGATACAAATTGCACAGCACTAGAGGTGTTTTGTACAGGGCAGCTGGTTACTTTGGAGTTCTTTTTCCTTCCCTTCAGAACTGTCTGTGTTTGTAGTCCACCAGGGATCGGACACTGGACCAGCAGTGCACGGTCAGTCGGCCTGGACTGGCCATGGTGGCTGGAGCCCTGGCAGTGGAGTTAATGGTTTCTGTCCTGCAGCATCCAGAAGGGTGAGCCATTGCTGCTGTTCTGAGGTGTTCTCTGAGAAATCAGACAAATGGCATCAAATCTGTGGGGAGGAGGAGGAGGAATTACCCCTCGAGACAGATAATTCTGTGAGGAGTAATGTAAATTAATGTAGTGTGCAGTGTTTGAGGGAGCTGCTTCATCGAGTCTTGGGTTTTTCTTCTCTCTCTGAATTTAACCACAGAAAAGTATTAAGAATCTTTCAAAAGAAGAAAATGTTGTTAGTAATCTTGGCTTTCCTTTGCTGCACAGTGTTTAAGTGTGATGAGGAGCTCTTGGCACATGAAGGGTTTCAAGATAAGCCCTGTGTTGCAAATTTTATTTAAAACTCAGTGTGTGTGTACAGAAATTACTCTGAAATTCTGCACCTTGAATGTGAGGCTTGTTTTCTCTTTAAAGCCTGAGAGAAAAAGTGACTTGGGAGTTAAAGATGAGTCTCAGACTGATTTATATATATTTATCATGCTGAATCTTGGTATCTATGAAACAGATTTTCCACATAGATTCCTTGCCTCATTCTAAGCTGTAGCAAAGTGCCTGGAAGCTGACTGGAACTTGTGAGTGTGTTGCCTTGCTCTAATTCTCCCTGTTGGGTTTTTGGCAGTGGCTATGCTGTGGCCAGCAGCAGTGATGACAGAATGAATGAACCACCCACCTCTCTTGGGCTTGTTCCTCACCAGGTAAATTATTTGTGAGAAAACCTTTTCTTTAAGAGCTGGGAACTGATTATCACAGATGTTGTCTCCTGAAAACAATCCGATTCCATTCCCCAGAGGACTAACTCTCCATATTTATTAAAAGACAAATATCAGTAATATCAATAAACACAGCCCAGACAGGGTGTTCTGGCACTGTGTTTGTGCTGTGGACACAAAATTCCTGCTACCTACTGAGCAGGAATTTGTTCTCCCACAGAGCTGCCAATATGAGCATCCTAAAGTTCACTTTTGAAATCTCTTCAGAGTTTGAAAACAATTCAAATCAGCCAACTCCCAATTATTATGTGAGTTGGCTGATTTTAATTATTTATTATTATTATTATTATTATTATTATTATTATTATTACTAAATATTCAGGTTTTTTTGGTACCATCCAGCAGTTATCTTCAACTCAACCCAAACTCAGCTTACAAATGTGTTACAGCTTTTCAAAAATTCAGTTTTAAAATTTCAAAATTGAGGTATTATTATTTGTGTTGCAGAGTTACTTCAGTTCTGTTCCTGGTGATATCTCTTCATTGCAATAAACAGAATAAAAAGGATGATCAATACTCCAAAGAGTTCACAGTTGAAGTGACCAAACCCTGCTGCAAAGTTTTTCTAGTGCACCCTCTGTTAGCAGAAATAGTGATTTGGAATTTTAAAATTGCCTATTAATAATATCATATTAAAATCACAATTGAGAAAATCACAGCAGTTAAATGTTCAGAATATAGGTTATAGAAATGGGGAAAAAAAAAATGTTTAAGTGGTCACACTATGACTTTTTATTTTCATGGAACTTTGCACTCAGAAAAGGCCAACTGCAGATGGTGCTGTGCCTCCATTTCTGGTGGAAATGATGCTGCATTATGCAGTTGTGTCATTATTTGTACATAAAAAAGCAGTAATATGTGCTTAGTATGAATTCATTGCAAGTTTTACTGAGTGTGACTGATAGAACATGATAGATGTTCCTTTTATGGGATGCATGTGTCCAGTCCATGTTGAATTTTGGAAATGTTTAAAATAGGAATTTTATTTTTTTTTTTCCTTCTTCCAGATCCGAGGGTTTTTATCCAGATTTGATAATGTTCTTCCAGTCAGCCTGGCATTTGATAAGTGCACAGCCTGTTCAGCCAAGGTAGGGCTGAGTTTGTGCTTTCTATTATTTTTATATTTCTAGGTCAGTTTTGGGGAACTTTTTGACATTTTCTCTGACTTCCTTAGGGCTTGGAATCTGTTCCCACTTCAGCTGAAGTTCTTTTTCCCCTCATAGCCTTCTTTTTTTATCTGTTTTCCAAATTTCTTTGGCATCACCTCTTAGCTTGCTGCTCTGTCATTTCCACAGAGCTGCTGCCATCAGCTGAGGAATCCAAGCAGAGATTGGCCAAGACATTTCTGAAAGGTTTATCACAGAAATATTGTCATTATCTCTCAGCTCTATAGAAAGGAATGAGATTGGTATTATTTAAGAAACCCTTTCTGATGTCTGTTGAATAAATACCCCTTTAGCCTTCTGCAGCTTAATGCCTTTCCAAATAGGTGAGAGAGTCAAAATTTCTGTTTTGTGAATCAAAACAGACAAATAATGAACAATTGAGGGGAAAAAATTGCTTCTTACCATTTCATTATTGAGCAGATTGTTTATTTTGCTGCCAGTCCTGAGTCCCCTCAGAGTTCCCAGCTGTTTCTTGGCTCTTTGGGGCAGCTCTTGCTTTGTTTCCCTCTCCTGTGGCCTTGAAAAGTTGCCTCTGGCAAGTTTCTTCTGGCCATGGAGTGCAACTTCCAGAAGTTTTCTCTGGGATATCTCAGCAGGGAAATTCAGAGGGTTTTTGACTCGTGGTTTGAAGTGTTTGGAGTGCCATTAATTTATTCACTCTCCTGTACCTGGAGACTGACTGCAGGAAGTTCGTTCTGTTCCTGTCACTGCACTCATCCTCCTTTCAAAGAGCCCTCAAAAAATAATGGGGCACTGACATCTTTTGGAGAGCTTGCACAATACCTTCTTCTTCTTCAGTGTTCCCCTTTTTCCCCTCTGGACTGTCTGGGTACATCTGACAAGTTTTGAAGGACTCTTAATGTGCATTTTCTCTTCAGAAGTTGAATCACTGAAGTTGGGTGTTTCTAAAAATAACAGCAGTTTTATCTACCCTGTTGAAGAGCTGTAAGCTCAGCAGTAGCTAAAACCCTGATGGTGGAGAATTTAAACTGCTAGAAGCAGCTTTTTTTTCTTTTTCTCTTATTTTCTCTTTATCTCCAGTTCAGGAAACATTGATATGTAAAAACAATAAAAATGTCCATCCACGCAGATAAATTCAATGTGGGGATCAATTTTTTCCTTAGCAAATCATTTCCTCTTGGAGGTCATTTTAAGAGAGCCCCGTTTTACATAAACAGACTTGATGATTTAATAAAAACTGCCTTGGATTTTAGCAGCTGTGCTATTCCCAGAGAGATCACTTTTCATGTGGTTTGGGGATTGAATTACTTGTGTGCTGAAAAGGTTGCTCCATTGGCTCACGGATTTCCTTACAGTAGAAACACAGCCTTTGTTTACTTTGCTAACTTTATTTATTAGCATAAGAATATGTCACCCTGCATTATGTGGAAATCTGATGCTGATGCTTGGAAATGACAAATCCAATTACGATTTAATTGTAGTCTGTATGTTGGTTTGCTGTGTGAGGGTTTGGTTTGGTTTGTTTTTTAATAAGGTAATTTAGCATCATTTCATCCTGCTCTGTGTCAGAATTACTGGGGGCTCAGACTTTCAGCACAGATAGAATTGAATTTGCTGGCATTGTGTCCATTGTGTTTTTCTATTGTCAGCATTCTCCTTCTTGAGCTTTTGTCGCTCTGTAACTCTTGAAGCACAAAACTAATGAATTAGGAATTTTAGAAGAATTCCAGTATATCCTCAAGCCATGCAGTCCAGCTGGAGGGCTCAGGAGAAGCTGCTAATGATCTGCATGTTTGGAGATTTGAGTCCTTTTCATTTTGACTCAGTCATTCCTTCATTTCTCTGCTTTTGAAGCTGCAGAGGCCAGACATGCCAGCAGCCAACTTTTCCTTACCCAGAATTGTCCTGCCCAGGCCGCGTGCCAGAGAAGCTTCCCGCAGGCAGTTGTTCAGGAATTTTGGGATGGTCGCAGCAGGAAACCAATCTATTTTTATTCTGGGCCAATTTTTCCTTGTATGATTCCCTCTCTGTCTTACTCTGGTTCTGCAGAAGCTGTGCTGGAATGTCAAATATCCCTGTCAGAGCTCAGGGCACTGAGAGAGCAGCAAGAGCTCTTCTGGTGCCAAACTTGTTCTGGCACCGACAAGGGAGACTCCAGAGTTCTTTAGGATGGATATTTATTTGTGACAACTGCTTTACTTACAGGAGAGAACGTTTAGCTTATTACTGACTGGGCTAATTAACCTGTTTACCCTGTTGGGAGCTAAATGAGGCTGTTTGTTCATTATATTATGGTGAGAAGCATTGCAATTCCTTGGGAAACAGATCTGATCCTTGCAGAAAACTAGTTAAAGCCTTAAATCATCATGCTTAAAATATTAATGTATTTTAATGCAAAACTGCCAGTGTTTCTATTTCAATGAGGGCAATGAAAATTCCCTTTGATTGCACCCCTTTACTTTTGTGCATGATGGAAGGAATGAGGAGGCCCCACAGATCCAAAGTTTAATGTCACAAAAGATAATTGCCACCAACCAACCTTGATATAAAGATGTAAAACCCCTCTGTTTTTACACAAAGCTCACATTTCTTCCAGAGCTAGAATTTAGCACCCACGTGCTAGAAATCAGAGTTGTTCTCCTTGAAGAGATTTCTCTCCTTCCCCTACTGCAGTCACCCTCATGTGCAGCTACCCCACTATGACACTTACAAAAATCAGCACAAAGATCTCTGCTAATTTTCAAGTTCTTTCCCAACTTTCTTCTCGGTGTGCTGGGAACTTGAGCTGCTGAAGTGCCTTTTTACCCACTGGGTTAAGGTTGAATGTTTTCCAGTTTCATTGCATGTCACGAAGGGCAGACCCTGGGATCAGGGATGGTATTGTTGGCATTATGTTACAATTTCTGTTTTCAGTCAGGATATTCCCTTGCCCTTGCAGATGTTTTCCCTTTTTGCCATCTCAGGAATACATTAAACCCTTTTGCTGTGACATTTACTGAGCGCTTGGGTTGCGTAAGTTATTTATGAGTGTTTCAGTTTTGAAATCTATCATCGTGGAGCCTCAACAATGCTCTCATTGTTCTCCTCTGCTAACTGCTGTGCCTGCATTTTTATTTGGAATTGTTCTGATCACTTATGACAGCAACCTGCACGATTCAGTCACTCACTGGTGTTTTTCAGTTGAGATAATTTTGGTTTTGATTCCAGGCCCTTCAGATTTTCTCTGACTGCATTAAGACATTCCTGTTTGCTTTCTCTCAGTAGCAATGGACAATCTGTCACTGAAACTCCTTTGGATCTTTATATTATACATTTCTCAGTTCAAGTATTGTCTGGATGCAAAAATCAGGAGGGGGAAAAAGCCTTGGTCTTTCCTGTGCTTAAAAAAACCCCAAAAGTCTCTTGCAGAGCTTGCAGAAATGATGAAGGAAATGGGGAGAAATGTTTGTCCTCACAGGAATGACCAAAAATTTAAGGGAATGTTTTAAAAGAGTTGCTTCTGTAGCTGGGCTGTGAGGTCAATGAAATAGAATCCATTTAAAACTTTCACCTTACTTTCTGAATTTACAAATGTGAACATTTGACAAGTCTCTGTACAGTGCAGCCTCTATATTAATATTGGATGGATTTCACTGAGACTTGAAGAATGCATCATTAAGACACCCAGACATATTTTTAGCATACTGAGTTAAATGTAGGACATTTCTTAGAAATAAATAAAAATTAATTTTCCCATTGTTGCATTTAAATTTCAAAATAGTAGGGTTTAAGGGAAAGGAAAAACCTGCCATTGTGTAAGACAAGGGAATCATTTCTGACAGGTTGTATTTCTGTTGCATTTTAATGGAATTTATGGGTCGTCTTCTTCTAATTCAAAAAAATTCTAACTACACTTAGGACAAAGTAAAGGACTGTCAGTGAGGAAAAAGCATCACTGCAGTTTTCTAGTACTGACATCTTCAATATCTACCTGTGCCTTGAATATAATTCTTAATTATTTACATTAGATACAATCTGTGCTGTCTTGTCATCTGTCTGTGAAGCTGTTACACCATCCCTTTTCTGTCAGTTAAAACAAAACTGAACTAAAATACTTTGCCTTGAAATATCTGCCTACAAGAACTGCAAAAACAAACCTGGAGAACGCTGAACTGGATTAAAATTCAGGAATATTCAGTGTGTGTGGTGCTGATGATGATGGTGTTCATCCCATCACCAGTTCCAGCCCTCATTCTGTAGGATTCCACCTGGAATTCAAAAGATCAGTTTGTTTTGCTGGATATGAGCAATTTGTAGTTGTTCTTTTTTTTTCCTTTCAGAAGATTTTTGCAGCCCAGTGCTTTCTATTCCCAACTTTATTGTTCAGTTATTCCAAGGATTCACTGCACGTTCATGGAGATACAATATTTTTAATTAAGTAGTTTCTCATTTTAATTCTCTTTTATATTTTAATTACTGTACTTGTTTTTCAGAGGTTTTCCTGCATTCTCTTTGCAGTCTTTGACAGGTGTCTGTCTACTCTGATGCCCTTTTTCTTAAAAAAAGAATTAATAATCATCATAATCATAATAATAATTATAATAATAATAATCAGCCTTGCTTTATTGGAAAGCAGTCTTTGTTTGCAAATATTTTTGAACAGTTTAAGCTAAGTTTGACTTTTTTCCTCAACTTTCCCACATTTTTACAGTGCTGATATATCTGTCCTTACAGAATTGTTGGTTTGGAATAGGAAGAGTGGAGGGAATTCACTTTTAAGAGATGGTAAATCAGCAGAGATCAATGAAATTCGGAGAATGTGGTTTTGAAGTGTTGTTTTACATAGGTATTGCAGCACATCCAGCTGATAAAACCCTCTGCTCTGAAACAGTGCCCAAAATGTGGATTTTGGAGGTGTGGCTGAGCAGCTGCAGCTCCTGCCCGAGGCAGTGCCAGCTCTGGGGGCTCAGTGTGACAGTGAG